ATCTATCTATCTATCTATCTATCTATCTATCTATCTATCTATCTATCTATCTATCTATATCTATTTTCTATGTATTATCTATATATGTAGATTATATATAATATAGGTATATACTATATGCTGGAGGAGAGTCAGATTTGTAGCTTCCTATAAAAATGGTGGTGGTAATGAGATTGTATGCTGCATTTTTGCATCATGTAAAGATTTTAATCTTCCTTCTAAAATCCTGCTCTTAATAGCAATGTCTCATCTATGCCCACTCAACAGTTATATAAATTTTAAATATTTGCCATCTGTATTTGAAGCAGCTTTTAGCAATCAAACTATAGTTTATCAGAGGTATAATAAATAGATATGTTTTTCTACCAGTATGGTACTACACCATTGATCTGGGCAGCAAGAAAAGGACATCTGGATTGTGTAAAGTATCTGTTGCAGATGGGAGCAGATGTAGATCAGGAAGGAGCTGTGAGTATAACTTTTATTTTTTAAAAAAATACTAGTTAAAATATATTTCTAATCAAAAGTAACATATTTATTAATTGTATCAGTTTATAAGTTCCCTCGGTTATCCAAGTGAATGTAGACATCATGCAACACACCAGGGAAGTAAATGCCAAGAACTGAATAGTGAAGGTTTTATGTCAAACACAAGCTTCTTGTTGTTGTTATCTTGTCAAAGTAAAGCATTTGTAAAAAAAAAATGAAAGCAACAGAAAAATATGCAATTAACATTTGGTATTGAAGAAATGAATACATTAGAAGAAAATGTATATTTTCTTCTAATGTATTCATTTCTTCAATACCAAATGATACGTTTTAGTAAGTTTATTTTATTCTCTTATAGAATTCTATGACTGCACTTATTGTAGCAGTAAAAGGAGGCTTTACAGATTCAGTGAAAGAAATCCTGAAAAGAAATCCAAATGTGAACTTAACAGATAAAGATGGAAATACAGCTTTGATGATTGCTTCAAAGGAGGGACACATAGAAATTGTGCAAGATCTCCTAGATGCAGGAACCTATGTGAATATTCCTGATCGAGTGAGTATGTGTTTGCGTGGCATAGAAATGTTGCCTTAATTGCGTGTGCCACAATAGTTTGGGAAACTAATTTGGGAGTATTTGAAGTAGATATTGACTCTGTTGTATGCTAATTTCAGAGTGGAGATACTGTGCTGATTGGGGCTGTCAGAGGTGGTCATGTTGAAATTGTGAGAGCATTGCTTCAAAAATATGCTGATATAGACATTAGAGGTCAGGTAAGTAATTATCTGTTTAAGAGTATGCTTCTGAATGTGCCATTTAGAGAATGTAGAAGCATCCCTTGTAGATAGGAGACATATTATCAGATAATATTTATATTCTGGAAAAAATACTCATGCTAAATGCTAGCGTTTGACTCTTGCAAATATATTTCTCAAACTTTACTGCACATTGTTTCTTCATTAGAATGTAGAACAGAAAGTTTCATTTTTATATATAGCATACAGATAGTAGTCAACTTACAACCACTCATTTAGAGACTGAAGCTACAGTGGCACTGAAAAAAATGACTTGCAACTAGTGCGCATGCTACGGCGGTCACAGCACCCTCATTATCATGTGATCAAAATAGTCTGGCAATTGGCTCATATTTATAATGGTTGTAGCGTCCCAGGGTTATATGATTACCTTTTGCTTCGTTCCCAGCTTGTTTCTGACAAGCAAAGTCAACTGGGTAAACCAGATTTGCTTCTTGATCATATGATTAACAGTGGCAAAGATTTACCTAACAATTGTGGTAAAAAAAAAGTCATAAAATTGGTCCCATTAACTTAACTATCTTGCTTAGCAACAGAAATCATGGTCACAATTGTGGTCATAAGTTGAGGACTACCTGTAATTGTTTTGACACTTAGCTGTTATGAGCTACAGGTAGTCCTTGACTTAAAACAGTTCATTTAGTGATTGTTCAAAGTTACAACGGCACTGAAAAAAGTGACATTATCATTTTTCACTCTTACAACCATTGCAGCATCCACCTTCGTGACCTGACCAAAATTTAGACACTGGGCAACTGGCTCATATTTATGATGGTTGAAGTATCCTGGGGTTATGTTATCACCTTTTGTGACCTTCTGACAGCAAAATCAATGGGAAAATCAGATTTACTTAACAACAGTGTTACTAACTTAACAACTGGAGTGATTCACTTAACAGTTGTGGCAAGAAAGATTGTAAAATGGGGCAAAATTAACTTGTCTTGCTTAGGAACAAAACTTTTGGGCTAAATTATGGATGTAAGTTGAGGACAATGCTGTACTTACATCAGGAATGCAAGTTTGGGTTCAAAATAAGTATATGCATAATAATAACAATATTATCATTTTTAGGCAGACTACTTACGTATATATTTCCATCCTGAATAAAAAACCACTGAGTTATTCATATTTAAATAATGCACATATAAGGTATATTTGGTTTATGAAATTAATCCAACTGGCTTTTAAAATGTTTATCATGTGTGTTATTCATTTATAGGATAATAAAACAGCTTTATATTGGGCTGTTGAAAAAGGAAATGCTACCATGGTAAGAGATATTTTGCAGTGTAACCCAGACACTGAAATATGTACAAAGGTAAGTATATAATTGTTTCTAATCGTGAATAAGCTTTATGTGATTTTGGTGCATATTATTATTGTTTTTTATTTTTAAAAACCATAGTCCTTGAGCTTTATTAATAAGCTTTATTTAATAATAAACTTGAAGTTTAATAATATTTCTTTTTACACAGCAATAACCTGTACTGATTTTCTTAGGTGTGATATGTATTTATTAAATTTATATATACCAGTAACTTTATTATATATCTCCCAATTGCTGCTTATTACTTTTTAGAATAGTACTAGACAGTAAAATAAAATGCATTTTTCTTATGAATGCATGCATTTAGACTTAACTACTAAAACTAAGTCTGTTCAGTGTGACCTTGAGAGCTGTTAGTCAGGTCTACTAACAACATACGGGTTTTTTTTGGAGTTGATATGATTTCTTTTTTGTCTTCTGTAATTTTTAGGCTTCCCAGTGTCAGCCTATACTTAAATAATTAGGAAGGATATAGCAATGATAGTATTTGGATATAATACAGTCAGCAATCAAATAATACCAGTTAGATTTGAATATGGCATTCAGTTATAACAGCAAAGATATGACCAGAACTATATTGGTGATACAGAACAGAAAGATATGAAAATATAGTGAAGTTGAATTTTAAAGAAAACAGTATAGGCAGAGCTTATAGATAATGAAAATAGAAAATAGTTTTATTATTGAGAACAGAATTGTACAGACAATGATTTTTTTTGTAATACTTTGTGGAAGCAAAAGTTGGGATTTTAAGGAGTAGGGTTTAAAGAATTCTAATATTTTTAAACTTTGGTATTGGAAAAAATTTCAGAAAACAAATGGATCATTGAACAGATCTAGGAATGCCATTAATGGTACAAAAAATGACTAGGTTCAGATTATCTTAGTTTGTATATATTATGTGAAGACTAATTCTCTAAAGAAGTTCATAATTCTTGAAAGGTATTAAAAAAGAGAATGATCAGCAGCTAAGTAGATGGACTCAATTACAGTGGCACACTGTCAGAAAATTTGAAGGGCTGGTTTGAGGACACATCATCCTGGAGAAATTCTAAGTGTTTACTAAGAGATGACATTAAGTTGATGGCTTATAATCAAATAATTAATTTCAGCTGGTTTGCATATTTTCAGTGATTAAAACATATAGTTAAACAGCTGTTGATATAATTAAAAGCTAGTAAAAATAATGTGGCTAAAATTATAATGCATCTCAAACCATTCTATTAGAAAAGGGTTTTGTCATGAAATATAATTTGGTTTAAAAAAAAGTTAAATGTTCTTTATCTGTTCCTCAAGTGTCTGCTATATCTTTTTCTTTTTTCTTTTAGGACGGTGAAACACCTCTTATAAAGGCAACCAAAATGAGAAATATTGAAATAGTTGAGCTTCTGCTGGACAAAGGAGCAAAAGTTTCTGCTATAGATAAGGTAAAATCTAATTGTTGAGCAATGAGAAAAGCACAGTTAAAAGTAAAATATTAGTGGAGAGCTCACCCCCAATACTTTTGATGAAGGCAAAAAATGGATCTGCTTTAAAAAATGACTTTCTAAACTTTTCTCATTTGGTAAGAATATAACAATGTGAGAAAACAAATGATTTAAAGAATATAAGTTAAATTATTTTTGTAAGAAATAAAGGAATGGGGAAGACTTAACTTGAGTTTTTGACTTTTTGAGAAATGCAACTAAAACTATAGAAAGAAATCCAGATTCAAGAGAAAATTATGATTGGCACATGCATGGACACTTGTCAAGAACACTTTAAACAAAATGAAGACTATAATAGCTGTAGAGAAGATAGAATTGCTGTAAGATACTCTTGACAGGTGTACATCATGTCCACTGTGCTCCAAATTGCATTTTGTCCATTATATCTCTGTATAGTTCTTATATGCTTATGCATCTATTAACTTACAACAACTCTTTCAGAAAGGAGACACTCCACTACATATTGCTATTCGTGGCAGGAGCCGTAGGCTTGCAGAACTGCTTTTACGAAATCCTAAAGATGGCAGGCTACTTTATAGGCCTAATAAAGCTGGTGAAACCCCTTACAACATTGATTGCAGCCATCAGAAAAGTATTTTAACTCAAGTCTTTGGTGCTAGTAAGTATTTAGGATTTTTTAAAATATAAATATTTCTGATACTTTGGAAAATATATTTCTGGGGTCCCAAGAAAACATTTAATGATTAAATAGTGAAAAATGTCAGCCCAGCGGGAGCTATTTTTAAATATAATGATAAATGCTGTTTTAGAAATATGTTAGAATAGTCTAGCTTCTTCCTAAACTTGTGCATATCTTTCTTCCTATATGTGTGGGAGAATTTTAAACAGGTTTTAATTTAATCTGCTTTCTAATTTTGATCCATAGTTTGTAGATCCAAACAATAGTTTGTAAATCCAAAAGTCTACAAACTCTTCCAGGCTTTTTGGATGGAGGAAGCTAAAATTGTTCCTATCAAGCTAAACCAATTTGAAATATTGAAATCAATATTTTCTGCCTTTTAGCACCAGGTAAAAATCTGACTACTAAGATAGGATTCATTACCAAAAGGTTGAATAGATAGAGGTGGATTGCCTGATGACCTCTAAATATTTTAGGATATATCTCTCAAATTTCTTTGCTATTAGCCATACTAGCTGTGGGGATTGATGGGATTTTTTGCACAATCAGTTTGCCATTTCCAGTGTAGAGTAATTGAGGATGAAAGTCAATAGGAATTGCCTTTTAGATCAGGTGTGTCAAACTCGTGGGATGGATGCGTCACGTGCTGGCCCCGCCCCCGCCCAGTTTAGCAAAGGGGAAAAAAGTCCTGATACATCACATGATGCTGCTGTGACAATGCAAGTTTGATACCCCTGTTTGATCTGTTTTCTTATTCTTGGTATGGGAATGGAAAATAAACATGCAACTATTGCATTTGTCTTTATAGAATAATTATGCTGGCTGGCTGGCTATGATCTGGTATTAGTAATTGAAGAACAGGGCAAAAAAACAGATGATTTTTACAAGTTTATTTGTGTTGCAGGGCACTTGTCTCCTACTGAATCAGATGGGGATATGCTGGGTTATGATCTCTACAGCAGTGCATTAGCTGACATTCTTAGTGAACCAACAATGCAGCCACCAATTTGTGTTGGGCTGTATGCCCAGTGGGGAAGTGGCAAATCTTTCTTGCTCAAGAAACTTGAAGGTAAATATTTGATTTGAATACTTACTGAATGCTAAACAATAGCTTGGTTATTATTATTACTATTACTATTAAGTTTATTTGCTGGCTATCTCACTATTTGAGGTAAGTTGTTTTTTATTTATTTAAAAATGTATTTATTTAAAGAATGTGTACAGCCATCCATTTCAGATGTTGCAACTGTGGGTGGCAAACAATGAATTAAAAAGAAACACTTTCAAATAATTATTTCAAAGAATAAAACAGTTTCAATAGGAATCCAAAACATTAATAAGTAACTAGGAAATTACAATCATATCTTTCTAGAGTCTGTCCTGTTCATTTGATTCAAAGTAAACAACATGAAAATTGTAGAGTAATCTTTATATCTAACATAAATTCAGAACTGCTATGTGAAAAAAAACCCTTTTCCTCTAACTGTTCACAATCATTGGATAAACCTATCTTTTGTACTAATATTTTTTTTAAAGAAACTTGCTTTTTATGTTTGACTTATTCACGAGCTTTAAATTTTCCTCAGAGAGAATTGTTTATGTCTTACAATGATTTTTCCTTTTTTTTGTTTTTAGTAGATGTGTTAAATAGAATTATGTATGGTTATATTGTACATTTTTATAGTACAATGTAACTGGCAATTGTGTTTTTCCTTATCTTTTAATCTGATTTTTAAAACAGCCGTATATTGCACATTCTTACTACTTTATTCATCAGAGGTACATGATACTTTATCAACTCATAGATTTCCCAATTCAAGTGAAATGGTACATGTGTGGTTGGGATTCTTTTGCTTCGCTGTGCATTTGTTTTGATATTTTGTGTTAAATGGTCTGTTTGCTGATCTAGAGGGATTATTTTAGATACTTCCCTTTTGTTTAAAATATTATCATCAGTAAATTTTGTCACCTTGTGGTCTGTGGTAATTTCTAGATAACTGATGAACAAATACGAAAGCATGAGTCCAAATACAAACACTTCTGCAGTTCCACTGTGAAAACCAACCATTTATTTGTATCTTTTTTTTTTAGTACTTTAATTTTTTTATCCATAAAATCTCTTTGGCTGAGTGAAAGTATTAAACAGTCCAGCTTGTCTCCTGAAGTCTGGGTATTCAATCACTGGAGGTTTTCAAGACATGATTGGACAGCCATTTGTCTGGGATGGTATGAAGAATCCTGTACAGGATGGAAGGTTGTTCTACACCGAAGTCACTTCTACCCATATAGTTCTATGGAAAATTCACTTCAATTTGCTAAAGATTACAACAGTATCAAGGAAATCACCTTTATTTTTCATGAAAATAGTATCTATCTTGGTAATTTTATGTTCACTAAAAATTATTTCTCTCTTTTTAGATGAAATGAAAACATTTGCAGGACAGCAGATTGAACCTTTGTTCCAATTTTCCTGGCTTATTGTGTTCCTTTCACTTTCATTGTGTGGCAGCCTTGGCTTATTACTTGCATTTACCGTAGATGAAAAACTTGGAATAGCAGTGGCATTGAGCTTATTGGCACTGCTATACGTATTTTTCAGTAAGTTTTCTTTTAAGTGAAATTAATTTTTAACTTATTGCATGTTTAAAATTAAGCTGATACTTTAATGCATAAATGAAGCAAAAGTCAAATCACATTGAAAACTATACCAATGTCGCGAGTTGAAAGATCTGTAATTTTGTGGAACTCCTTTCTAGAAAAGAGTATGCATAGAAATTATATCTGTATCACCTCCCCCCCCCAATCAAAACCATTTGTATAATACATCGGATGATAGATGTATCATCCAGCAGGAACTCTAATTAACACGTTGTATTAAAAAGCATAAACTTTGGTGAATTGGAATTCACTTCATCAGATGCATATAGTGACTAGACTGATCTGCTATTTAAACAGGAATAAAGCGGAAAGGAAGGACGGGAAGGCAGGTTGGTGTAGATGACCAAGTTAGATGTAGGATAGATTGCAAGTGTCTTATTAATTAACTATAATATGTTAAAAACTATATTTGTTGATTTATGTGTATCATAAGAAAACATTTAATAAACCAAATTCCTTCTGTTTTTCCCCCTAAAATTATTGTGGGACTGAATGAAAATATATGATTTTCTTGTATAGCAGTGTACTAAAGTGTACTATAGAACATCTTGTAATACTTTCTATAAATGATATATTTAAAATATCTAAACCATCTTGTTTTAGCTGTAATATATTTTGGGAGCCGAAGAGAAGGAGAAAATTGGAATTGGGCATGGGTGCTTAGTACAAGATTGGCAAGACATATTGGCTACATGGAATTACTTCTTAAACTCATGTTTGTGAACCCACCTGAGTTGCCAGAGCAAACTACTAAAGCCTTACCCGTCAGGTTAGAACAATTTATCATACTGTTTTGTTACAGATAATGGTTTTTAAAAGGTTTAATATTGTAAGACCTTTATTGTGGCCCAAATTTGCTAGAATTACTGAGCTGTAATCTTTAAAAGAATATTATCTGATACTCTGTTAAAGGATTATATTGAATTAACTATGGATTCTGATGCTTTACTTAAAAATTCATAAATGGCTGCATTATGTATAAAATTTGTCATTTTCCATGTTAGGTCTATTCATTCTGAAGTAAATTTTAATAAGTAATATTATTTAATAGTCCATCAACATTGGACTGATTTCTTGGGAGGCATTGTTTTACAAAAGTACCGGTCACTTCAATAGTTTCATTCATCTATTGCAGTGGTTGCCAACTGGTGGGCCGCGGCCCACTGGTGGGCCGTGAGAAAATTTTGGTGGGCTGCAGAGAAATCTCACCCCCAGAGCACCCTCCCCCAAAGCAATTAATCCAGGCTGCGCAGAAACACAAGGCTGTGGGAACCTTCCCTGCCCACTCACTCCTTACTCAGAAAACCTGCCTGCTAAATTGCTATTTTTCCTTTTTCCGACCATCATCTGTTCTGCTGTGCCAGGAGATTTAGATTAGCTAGGAAGCAGGAAATGGTTGGATTTCTTGCTTTCTAGCTAAGGACAGCCAAACCTCCCTTAGGACTGAAGGTTTGCTTGTAAGCAAATTCAGTGCAGACTCACAGCAAGCAAATTTGAGAGACTGAGCTAGCCGATGGCAGATAGATAGATAGATAACTGAATGATTCTGTGAGCAACTCAATCTGCTTTGCCTGATTTTAGGTAAAAGTTACTCTTTTTTAAAATAAAAAAATCAATATTTACATGCATGGTGTGTTGTGAGTTAATTTTATGAGTTTGCTTGCTAGCAAATTTTATGTGACAGACTGAGTAGCCAATGGCAGATAGATAGATCTCTGAATGAATCCGTGATTCTGTGAGCAACTCAATCTGCCTGCTTTGCCTGATTTTGGGTAAAAGTTGCTCTTTTTTAATAAAAAAATCAATATTTATATAAATATTTATAATATTCACATACAAGCCATGCCCAGCCAGTCACATGACCCAACCACACCCACAAATTAGGCCACGCCCACAGAACCAGTTAGTGGTTCTAACCGGGATCTAAAATTATGAGTTTGGTGGTCCCTGAGGTCCAAAAGGTTGGCGACCCCTGTTCTATTTTGTCCCTCAAGATTCTATTTTATTTCCATAATTTTGTTAATTCATATTTTAACGAGATAACTATAGTTTAAATTAGTTTATTTTGCAATAAATCATAAGATCATACCAAATCTATCTTGATAATGTTTTATAAAGATAATGATTTTTTTAGTGATGATATTAGGTTATACAGTTATTGATTGATAATATGAGCTATTATGTAATATAATTATATTAGTGACTAGGAAATGGATGCACAAAAAAAAAGGTAAACCAACCGATGCACTGCTTGTAAATTTATGAAGAAGGATGATATTTTTATGTTTTATGTGGTATGTCTATGTTTTGTTGTTAAAATAAAATAAAATAAAAAAAGATTCTATTTTATTTCCATACATTTAATGCATACATATATTGAGGCAGCTTGCCCTGGTGTTCAGTGCCACTGATAGGATCTTTCTCACTCTTTCCCTTTAAATCTAAGAAAGTGGATTGAGTTCTAAATTTATTTCATTTATGTATTAAGGTTTGTATCCCTCTCGAGTCTGAAGAGACTGATTGGCTTACTTTATTCTCTACAGTAAAAGAGTAAAATACAATCAGCAATTCACAAAAAATAAAATCCCCAACATCTTCAGAATATTATATGTCACACACAAGAAAAACTTATAAAGGAAGCCTTACCTTTCATTATGGGTCTGTTTCTAAGACTTTCTTGAATATGAATATGCACATTTTAATACTTTCAAAAAATCAAGAGTATCTGATACCAATGATTGGGGACTCAGCAGCTGGTCTGCATTTACTCCCATTTGCAGTGTCCCACAGTCATGTGACCATGATTTTAAATGTTTTTGCTGGAAGTCAGCATTAACTTCTGATTTCTAGCAGAAAAATGCTCCTGAGTTTTATTATCACTAAAAATCAGTGAAACATAATGAAATATAATAAAATAATGGAACATGATGAAATGTCTAATCCACATTTTATTTGTGAGACAATATCAAAACTTAATACTTTATTTGAATTTTATTGGTAGGTGCCTTGAACACTGCTTTGCAGGAAGGAGAAATACAAATGCATTAAGGGCATTAGCCCACAATAAATTATGCAGAAAATTGTTTGGTATCACAGTGTCAGTCTTGCTTGTAATAAAATTATCATTGTAGTCTACTGGTAACTAATGCAGAAATGTATTCTAAATAACTTTTACCAAGTTATTTAAAAACTACCAATAACTACTGAATTTGCTCTATTTGCTCAAGCTCTACAAAGAGGCATTTGGATTAAATATGTAACCAAAAATACTTCTATATTTTGTTTTAAATATAGTCTTCATAGTTATGAAGAATACTGTCAATAGTTGTATAAATAATGGGAATTATTAAATTAATGAATTAATTTATCATTTATTTAATAATAAAATAATACATTAAAATTAAAACCATGAGATTAGTAATGAAAGCTCAGCAATTTAAAAATGTCCTAATAAAAGGAAAAACTCAATCTGTACCAATCAGTAACAATCTACAATTATTTGTTGTTTAAGGTTTCTCTTTACAGATTACAATAGATTGTCCAGCGTAGGTGGAGAAACCTCAATGGCTGAAATGATTGCCACCCTTTCAGATGCCTGTGAGAGAGAATTTGGGTTTTTAGCAACACGTCTTTTTCGTGTATTCAAAACTGAAGAAACTCAAGGTATGTGTGAAGTTGTTGAATTGACCTTTTCTTTTGTTTTTCAGCGGCACATTCCCCTCCCCAATACATTTTTCTTTATGATTCAGTCAATGTGAAGTGATGAAGGTATTGGATTAGGATTGGGAAATTCCATGATCAAGGCCAACCTTGGTTACGGAAACGTACTTGGTGGCTTTGGTCCATTCAATGTCACCGGATTCATAGGACTGCTGCTAAACTCTTTTGTGAATTGTCTTGAGTTCTTGTAAGCAAATGCAGAATGTAAATCTAAGAAACAATATTGATACGCAGTGTTGTTTCACGTTAAAATGCAAAACTAGGACATATAAATAATGGTCATTCTGCTCAAAATCCTAAACGCCTTAGAGCCAAGTGGGAAACAGAGTTGAAAATTTCCATGGTTTAAAGGGGACAAGACATTACATCCCTTAAGCAAAAGAAAGTTGTTGTGTAGATACTCTCTATGCAGATCAGGACTCTAGAAAACTTTCAAGTAAGAATCTGACAGTAAGAATTACAGTGAAGTTTACTTCAGAGTATTTATGCATAGCTTTTCTTGGGCTTTTACAAGGGCAACAGGAGAGTTTCACTTCAAATTATCCTAAGTTTAATGAGCTTCACTTATTAGGCAACCAGAAGTAGGTCTTCTCTTCTGTCCAACTTACAGAATACAGGAATAAAATTCAACCCCTGTTCTTTCAGTTTTCAGGAAAGGGTTTAAACCTTTCTATTTAGCCATGGTTTTTAATTTGATTAACAATAATCAATTGTTTTGTGAGTTTTTATTTTTTTTAATAGTTAGTTGACTTGGGTGCCTAGTAAGCAAAAAGGCAGAATATAAATGATGTAAAATGTATGTATTTGAAGTTATAAATTGTATTTATCAATTGCTGCTTTGTCTCCTAGGAAAAAAGAAATGGAAGAAAACTTGTTGTCTCCCATCTTTTGTTATCTTCCTCTTTATTCTGAGCTGCATTGTTGCTGGGATCACTCTTACAGCTTATTTCAAAGTGAATCCTGAAAACACGACAGTGAATGCTATTCTGATTTCATTTTTATGCATTGTGGGTTTGAGCTTTATCTTGAACTGTCGCACGTGGTGGCAAGTGATGGACTCCATCTTAAATTCACAGAGAAAACGGCTTCACAGTGCTGCTTCAAAACTACACAAACTGAAGAGTGAGGGATTTATGAAAGTACGTATTATATAATATAGCAGTTTTGAATTATGTGAGTTTTGTTTAAAGACCTCCAGAACACAGTTTAGGAATGAAATGTTCCAGAGAGTGGCATTTGGTTTACCTCTAGATCATGCTGTTATGAGGACAGTAAGGTGAATTTTCCAGAAGTAAATTCCCCAAACTGGGTTTATAGCATTCGGCATATATTTTTCTAAAGGAAACAGGCCCATTTCAGAGGCAGACTATTCTCAGTATGCTTTGAACACTTCTGGTTTGGAGGATTCAGTTCTGGAAACTGACAAGCTTTCCTGCAGTGGAAGGAAAACAGAATATTTTAAGGCTCTTTGGAATGTTCCTGAATCACTTTTGCACTTTCTGAGTTTAGTTTAACTTGTAATTGATCATGAAGATGAAGCAGTAAAAAAAAAAGCCTCATAAAAATGAAGCAGTTTATCAATAAGATCAAAGATACCCAACCCCGGGCCACAGATGAGTACTGGCCCATGTTACTGGCCTGTTAGGAATCAGGCTGGTGGTGAGCAGCAGGTGACTGAGCAAAACTGAACCCTTCCCTTTACCCCGCCCCACTCCAACACCTGGTCCGTGGAAAAATTGTTTTCCATGAAACTGGTCCCTGGCGCCAAAAAACTTGGGGACTGCTGAAGTAGATAACTAAACATTATGAGTAAAATTACTTTAAATACTGGGGGAAAAGCTACATTTATGGCATTTAAATTAGAAGTTTGTCTCTTATTTTTTATTTTTAATAAAGTTTTATTTGGGTTTTCACACACAAAATACAAGTAAAACATCTTTTTTGAAAATAGCATGGTCCCGGGTTGAACTTCTTTATACAGACACAAAACTCAATTTCATGCTCCTTTTTGTATTCTATTCCATATCTTATACTATTTTACATTTTCTATATAGTTTTTCCCCTCTTTTAATTTTCTCAATTTTATTTTGATTATCTCATCTCAGTTCAAATCATTATATTTATACTTTTGTCTGTTCTGTTTCAATTTCATATTATCTTTTCTCATTAAACAAATTTTCTCCTGTAGTTACTTATTGGAGTATGACACCTTTATATCTTTTAATTACATCCATTCAACTCTTAAACTTCAATATATACCTTAAGTTTACGACCTTCAATATAATACATAATACATAACTTCCAATCGAATTCTGCTTGGTACATTCTTATAATACACACTATATTCTTTAAAAAAAAAAAGAAAAGATTGTAAGTATATGTAATTATAAACCCTCATTCCATTCCAGTTCAGTTCTATCATTAATAATCATTAAAATCTTAACATCTTTAACACTTCTTTTCAATTAAATATCATACTTCCTTAAAAACACATATAATCTTCATAATTAATTTTTCCCTTATTTCTCTTCACATATGTTTTATAAATTATTAAATATACCTTTTGTTACATTTATTTATTGATAAACATTCCACCGAATTACGATAGCTATTTTATCAGACATTTTAATCATACATTGTTTCATATTTTCTAAAATTATTTCTGCTTCTAATATAACCATACTATCTTATGTACCTTTGCAGAATCCCCTTTTCCATTAAGTTTTCACCCATTATCTCTAAATTGGCCCTGTTTCTCTATATTTTGCTTCTGTCCTTTATAACTTCTTTTCCTTTCTTTCTTCCCTCTCATCTTCTCCCTCCCCTTTTTACCCCCTTGTCTCTCTACTTCTAATTCTCTCTTCTGCATTTCCCTCTTCTGTTGCTTTCTGATTTTATACTTATTTTTCACTCTATTTTCTTGGGAGTTGTTCTTCCCAATCTTAAACTTTCCATTCTCTTTCCCCCACTTTCCTTTTTCCCCCCCATCTAAGATTACTTGTTCATTAAAGATGGCTTCTTCTTTGTCGCAGTCTTCTTGTTCTGCAGGCATTTCTTGTTGTTTCTCATAATTCCAAATCTCCATTTCTAAAATCTTAAATACGAAGCCAAAAGAACCTCTCCCTTCTTGTGCATCTTCTTTGTACTTTTTAAGTTCCATTTTCAGTTCTTCTAAAAGTGGAGCCATTTTAAACAGTTTTAAACAACCACCTGATTGATTTTAGTCATTCAAAACAATAACCAAGAATCCAGAAATCATCAAGTAATCCAGATAGTCCCAAGTTATATCTTCTTATTTCTTTTTCGACTTTCTCTTCCTGGGGTTTTTGTTGCGATATTTCAGTTAGAATGTATCTTTTGGAAGTCTTGTTGAGATTTTGCTGTAGGTTCTTTTTTAATTCTAGGCAGTCTCCTCTCTTCCAGATCCTGACCTTTTATTCTTTTTCTTTCCTTTCCTGTTTTCGAAAGCTTTTAATTATCCAGAAATCTTTATTATCCCTTTGACTTTTTATTTTCAGCATTAAATGCCTATCGATGTCAGAGTGGATTTTTTTCCAATTTCTTGCTTAAGTCTCTTAGCTGTCAGTATAGGAAAAGGAGAAAACCAAATCTTTTTCCCCTTTCTCTCTCCTTCGCAGCTTAAAAATCTTCTTAGGGAACAATGTTATTGTTTTTTAACAGTTTCAATTCCAGGGTACCTTATTTGTTGCTTTTGCTGTTTGACCCGGTCAACCAAAACTTTCTCTTCTTATCTTCCTCCTGCACATTCTTTTCCGGTTGAATTCTTCTTTGTGGTGGCCATTTCTGACCACCGCTGCAACTGCCTTTGGGAAAGGGAGTAATGGCCAGCTGGGGAGGAGAGATGTGGCTCTCCTCAACCCTGCAGGCAGTCTCTCCCCTCTTCACCACCTCTACGGGGTGGCTTAGCCTCGAAACCAGCCGGCTTGGGGTGCTCCAGCGGCGAAGTTTGTCTCTTTTAATATGTTTATAGGATTGACGTTAAGATGACTGTATTTTTATTTTTGTAGGTTCTTAAATGTGAAGTGGAGCTGATGGCAAAAATGGCAAAAACTATAGATAGCTTTACTCAGAATCAAACCAGGCTTGTAGTAATTATTGATGGATTGGATGCCTGTGAACAGGATAAAGTTTTACAGATGCTTGATACAGTAAGTGTTTAATTGATTTGCCTTTCAAATGTGACTATGAGGAAAGACATTGGAAATGTTCTAATAATTTGCTTTAATTCATATAGCTAATTAAATTCTGAAATAAGTGGAACAAATTATAGCTACTTGTTTTACTGCTTTCACTGAGATTTGCAGCTCAATTCTGTGTATGCTGGAAACCCCTCAATAGATTCAGTGGACTTATTCCTAAGTAGAAATTTATAGCATTGATTATAAACACAAATACATGCTAATTTTAAAATGATATTCAATTAATGTAGTGATCATGGATTAGTGGAGGCACTTCTGTTTGTCATTCCATGCCACAGTGCTTCGAGCCATTTCTTAAGCCATCTCAGGAACAGTATGGAGATTTCATTTAGTTCAAGGAAAGTTTCATTCTCCAAGCAATCCCTCGGGTATAATGAAAACTATATTTCACATATATTGCCTGCCAGATGTTTTATATCTTAAGAAATATTTAAATGTTTACAGTGCTAGGCAAAATAGATGGGTTGTGATATATACTACCTGTAATATATGTAATCAGAAGAAAACAGCAATGGGACATCTTCCATCCCGAATACTACATAATAATTGTGCCCTGAACTAGTTGTGATCCTCCCTCCCTCCCTCTCTCAGTTTAATTAATTTTCTTTCCTTTTCACAGGTCCGAGTCCTTTTTTCTAAAGGTCCATTTATTGCCATTTTTGCTAGTGATCCCCACATCATTATCAAGGCAATTAATCAGAATCTGAACAGTGTACTAAGAGACTCAAATATAAACGGACATGATTACATGAGGAATATAGTTCATTTACCTGTATTTCTTAATAGTCGTGGACTCAGTAGTGCTAAAAAGATGATGGTAGCTGCGACCACAAATGGAGATGTTCCATATACAGATAGTTCAGGTATGGTAGCAAAATTATAAATAAGAAATAAGATTATTAGTATTAGCTGGAGAGAGAGACAGAGAGAGGGAGAGAGGGAGGGAGGGAAAGGGAGAAAGAGAATGTGTGTGCATATACAGTAGATTTATTTTCACAGGTAGTTTTTATTTTTTCTGTATTTTTATATTGCTTTCAGTATTTTATGAATAAAAAGGCAGAATAAAAAAGGTGCAAATAACCTATAGTTTATTAGAATTGCATTTTAATCAGAAAATATTTTTAGGATTTCATGAAGACATTGATCGAAGGATTTCACAGAATAGCCTGGGAGATGTGACTAAGCTTGGAAGTAAAACAGCTCTCAATAGAAGGGTAAGAAATTGGCAGTCATGGAAGAAAAATCATTGAATATGTTCTATCAAACAGTTGTCCAATAGATTTATGTGGGATTTGTTGGATCTAATTTAAATGTGATGAAAACCCTCCAAGCTGAGTGTTTCTACAGATTTGGCATGAAAGCGAGGAAATGGTCTCTCTTACAACTTTATTGACTATTTTTACTTCCTGCTGGGTAGAAAAAGAAAAAAGAAAGGCTTCTGTACCGATGCAAATTACTACTTGAAAGTGATCCTTGGGATGTTAATCTGACTTGATGCGATATTATTTAATACATTTTTATGGTGCATTGTAGGTGAACTTCTGATAAGGCAAATTTCAGTCAAAACATTCAGAATAAAGCAGGGTGTAATTATATAGAGCTCCAGTAATAAGTCTGATAACATTTGAGAAGTAATGAAAAGCTTCAAAGGGCTTCTGAGATTTGAAAAAAATATCCATATGCCTGGCACACTGTAAATGAAAATAGTATAAGTACTTTTTCTTTAAATTAGGATACCTACAGAAGAAGGCAAATGCAGCGTACCATTACACGTCAGATGTCTTTTGATCTGACCAAACTACTGGTTACAGAAGACTGGTTCAGTGATATTAGCCCACAGACAATGAGGCGATTGCTTAATATTGTTTCTGTAACAGGTAATGTTTATTTATCAGTGCCAAACATTTATAATATTGATCTTCATGTTGAAAGCAGTTTGCCAGTGTAATAAGCATATAGTTTGTTTCTAATCTTTTGCATTCTGTAATGAAATTAAGCAATATTAAAAACTACTGAATTAGGAACTATTCATGTGTCAATTTAAAATTAGAAATGTGCAAACAATACTTCTGTCTTAAAAACGTTCTAAAGTATGGTAGCATTGTGGTGGCGGAATATACTTTTGTTTAAAGAGTACTGTATAATTGGTATTATTGTTCCTTAGCTAAGAATATCAGGCTTTCTCTTATCAAACTGAAGTCAGCTGAAAACAACACAGAGTTGTTGTGGATTTTTTGTTGGACAAACAGCCTCTCAAATTATTGTGAAAATAACCTAGATAATAAATTCTCCTTTCTGCAAATGAAAATTTATTTATGGAATAAATAAAAACTCCATTTAAAGAGAGAGCAAGATAGTTGTCACTTTCTTCTGGACTCCTTGCACGTCTGTCCTTTCAAAAAGATATCTGCCTGCAGTAGAAAATTGGGGCTTTGTGTTCAGAAAGAAACAGCTTTTCCTTTTCCAATGAAACTATTCCATTAGTGGAAGTATGGATATGAATTAAAAAGTATCAGATACAAAATGCAACATTTGGAGATTGCATTAAACTTTGGAAACAATACACAGAAATATTTATTCCCATATTTTTAAAATGTTTGGATTGTTAAACAAATCCATTTGATTTATAGTTCAAAGATATAACTGGGATGACAAATCTCTATTATGAAATTTCAATAATTAGATTGTTAGTTGTTATGCGTAATGTAAAATAAAATTCTTTATTGATACTCACGCAGTCAATCATATTTGTATTAAAATACTGTGGCTTTGGTATGTTAAAATACAGAGTTAATTCAGAAGAGCATATAATGACTTGTAAACTGAGATGTGATTCTTAGGAAATTTTGTACTATCTGATATTATTTTGTAGGAATGTGAACTATATTGCTAAGCATATAACTCTTGATTTTATAGGGCGTTTATTGAGAGCTAATCAGATCACTTTCAATTGGGATAGGCTGGCAAGCTGGATCAACTTGACAGAGCAATGGCCATACAGAACATCCTGGCTTATATTATATTTGGAAGAAACAGAAGGTGTTCCAGATCAACTAACTTTAAAAACAATCTATGAGAGGTAAGTGTTGTTTTAACAGTATAATCCGTTATTAAATGTTGGCTTCCTATCTATTTCTAATGACGTCTCTACTGGCTAATCCAAATATGGAGATCCACCTTGGTGTAAGGGTTAAGGTACTGGCCTAGTAACCAAGAGACTATGAGTTCTAGCTCCTTCTTAGGCACAGATGCTGGCTGGGTGACTTTTGGCCAGTCACTCACTCTTAGCCAAGCTTACCTTGCAGTGTTATTGTAGGGAAAATGAGGAGGAGGAAATAGTATTAACAATGTTCGCTGACTTGAGTTACTTACCCATGTTTACTCAAAAATAAGACTTAGGTCTTATATTAACTTTTGCTCCAAAAGACACATTAGGGTTTTTTCCTGGTTAGGTCTTATTTTTGGGATAATATGGTATTAAATACATCCATCTGGCTGACAAACTTAACTGGGGCTTATTTTGGGAGGTAGGGCTTATATTACAAGCATCTTGAAAAATCATGCTAGGGCTTATTTCCCAATTGGATCTTATTTTGGGGGTAAACATGGTATAATGTAATAAATGAGGAATTAAAATAATATTTAAAAAAATGAACTGAAGCTAATATTTAATCCAAATGTATAATTTGTCAAGATGAAACAGCCGCATTTTATTTTTTTAAATGCTCTTGGAAAGAGGTCTTTCTCCTTGACAGTGGGCCAGAAACATGCTGAAAAAAGTATTACATAGTTGTTTCATGTCAAAATGTGCTCCTTAGCCTACTAATTTTCCAGGTCTTAGAATTTGCTTAACAAATGTCCAATAATTCAGATCCAGAATTATTTTTAATTTCTTTTAAAATGTGTTATGTGTTGTTATTCAGTCGCTAAGTCATACACTATTCTTTGTGACGCCATGGACCATAGCATGCCAAGACCCCTTGTCTTCCACTGTCTCCCAGAGTTTTCCCAGATTCATATTCATTGTGCTGATGACACTATTTAACAATGCCATCCTCTGCCGTCCTCTTCTCCTTTTGCCCTCAATTTTTCCCAGCCTCAGAGTCTTGTCCAATGAATTGTCTCTTCTCATTTAGTGGCCAAAGAATTTGAGCTTCAACTTCAGTATCTTTCCTTCCAAAGAACAGTCAGGGTTGATTTGCTTTAGGATTGACTGATTTGTGTTATGTGTTAAAAATATAAAAAGTAGCCATTCTGGTTAAAACTTAGATTTATTTAGTCCATTTTATCAGAAGAAACTCACATTGGTACAAGAGAACCTTCCAGGCTCTATTAGCTAGGAAGTGGCATTAAAAAGCATATTGCTACTGAAATTAATGTATAAAATCATGCTGATAGTCACTGATATCTGGACCCAATAAAATGTTGCCCAGATTGGCAGCTCTTATTGAATCTTTTAATTATTGCTTTTTGCAGCTCTTTCTTTGTTATCAATAGTCTATTTCATCGATTGACTAGATTCTGATGTAATAGGAAAGAATGTATTCACTTTCTCTGTATCATGTATATTTTGGTGGCTAACAGTTCTTTTTCTGCAAAAGTCGATATCTTTGGATGGAGCTTGTTTCTTTTCTCTAGCAGAGGTAAAAACTTGTTGACAGGTTAAGAAAATAATAATGTTGTAGATGTGGCAGTTACAGAGCTATTAAAACAGGGTTTCCAAAATATAACTAATAGTATTTGCTGTTTTGCAGTATGAATCCCCGACATTGGTTTCATTGCTGTCATTCTTTAGGGCTTTTTGTAATACAGATACATACAGTTCTATTCATATCTGTTTGGAAGATTCCATTGAGTTGAAAGAAACTTACAGGTGAAACTCGAAAAATTAGAATATCGTGCAAAAGTCCATTTATTTCAGTAATGCAACTTAAAAGGTGAAACTAATATATGAGATAGACTTATTACATGCAAAGCAAGATAGTTCAAGCTGTGATTTGTCATAATTGTGATGATGATGGCTTACAGCTCATGAAAACCTCAAATCCACAATATCAGAAAATTAGAATATTACATGCAATCAATAAATCAATAAAACAAGGATTGTACATAGAACAATATCGGACCTCTGAAAAGTAGAAGCATGCATATGTACTCAGTACTTGGTTTGGGCCCCTTTTGCAGCAATTACTGCCTCAATGCGGCGTGGCATGGAAGCTATCAGCCTGTGGCACTGCTGAGGTATTATGGAAGACCAGGATGCTTCAGTGGCGGCCTTCAGCTCTTCTGCATTGTTCGGTCTCATGTCTCTCATCTTTCTCTTGGCAATCCCCCATAGATTCTCTATGGGGTTCAGGTCAGGTGAGTTTGCTGGCCAATCAAGCACAGTAATCCCATGGTCATTGAATCAGGTTTTGGTGCTTTTGGCAGTGTGGGCAGGTGCCAAGTCCTGCTGGAAAATGAAGTCAGCATCCCTATAAAGCTTGTCTGTGGAAGAAAGCATGAAGTGCTCCAAAATCTCCTGGTAGGCAGCTGCGTTGACCCTAGACTTAGTGAAGCACAGCAGATGACATGGCTCCCCAAATCAACACAGACTGTGGAAACTTCACACTGGACTTCAAGCATCTTGCAGTGTGTGCCTCTCCATTCTTCCTCTGGACTCTGGGTCCTTGGTTTCCAAATGAGATGCAAAAGTTGCTCTCATCAGAAAAGAGGACTTTGGACCACTGAGCAACAGACCAGTTCTTTAGCCCAGGTAAGACGCTTCTGACGTTTGTTGTTCAGGAGCGGCTTGACAAGAGGAATACGACATTTGAAGCCCATGTCCAGGATCCGTCTGTGTGTGGTGGCTCTTGATGCACTGACTCCAGCCTCAGTCCACTCCCTGTGAAAGTCCCCAACACTTTTGAATGGCCTTTTCCTGACAATCCTCTCCAGGTTGCGGTCAACCCTGCTGCTTGTGCACCTTTTTCTTCCATACTTTTCCCTTCCACATAACTTTCTATTAATGTGCTTTGATACAGCACTTTGGGAACATCCAACTTCTTTTGCAATTACCTTTTGAGGCTTTCCCTCTCATGGAGGGTGTCACTGATGGTTTTCTGCACAACTGTCAGGTCAGCAGTCTTTCCCATGATTGTGCTTCCTACTGAAACTGAGAGACCATTTAAAGGCTCAGGAACCCTTTGCAGGTGTTATGGCTTAATTAGCTGATTAGAGTGGGACACTTTGAGCCTAGAATATTGAATCTTTTCACAATATTCTAATTTTTTGAGATTGTGGATTTGGGGTTTCATGAGCTGTTAGCCATAATCATCACAATTATGACACATCACGGCTTGAACTATCTTGCTTTGCATGTAATGAATCTATCTCCTATATTGGTTTCATCTTTTAAGTGGCATTACTAAATAAATGAACTTTTGCACAATATTCTAATTTTTCGAGTTACACCTGTACTTTAAAATAAATATGAATAATAAGTATCCCATGTATCTTTTAAATACTGTAATTAGTTTCCTTCTTCCAGTAGATGGCACTGCTATATTTTTATTAAGGAGACTGATGTAATACTGTTACAAATTTGATAGAAAATGTATGGTTAATCTCAGATCTCCAACTTAAAAAAAATAATTTTGTTATTTTAAATATTTGAATAGTTTTATTAATCCATTTCAAACAGAAATGTATAAAATAGAAATGAACAGTCACTGAAGAGGAAGGAAAAATGCATAATACATAAACATAAAAAGTAGAGTCTGGAACTGCACATCTATCCCAAGTTCACCTGATTTGTAAGTCTTTAAAATAGAAAAATAAACTTCCAATGTTCCCCAAGCCTGTGTATTTTTTCCCCAAAGAGAGCAATAATGTGACATTTTCTGATTAACAGAAAGCATACATTTTTTTCAAAATTGCTAAATCACTTCTCTGAAATACAATCCTTTACATATGGAATTGTAATATTTCCCATCTCCAGAAGTTAATGTATAATTCAGTTCAATATGTGTACCTTTAAAAACAGCTTACTCAGCAATTCTGTGAACATATTGTATACTATTTTTTCAAGAGGTACAAAGGAGAACATATCATAACATATGTGTTAGAATCCCTTTACATTTTTTGCAACACCAACACAAATAATGATCAGTCCATTCTTTACAAAAGCAGTCTAGAAGGTGTCAAGTAGATATGAAAAACAATATAATTAGATGGATTAATTTCAACTTTAAATTACAGATCATAAACTTAATATTCTTCAAAACTTGACTCCATTGGCTTGAAAAGACTGGTGTTTCCAATTCTTGATTATAAGCTTCTTGTATATTTGTTACAGATATTTTAAACCGTTCCTTTACCATTTCTCTTTTTGACAGAAGAAAAAAGCGGTTTGAATTGAATTCTTCAGTATTCATAATGTATCAGATATTTTAAAAGCTGTTAAAGCATCAGGTCCATATTGACCCATCAAAACATGGGTTTATTTCCATTGATGAATTGATGGTAAAGAAAATTATATTTGCAGAAGCTCAAAAAAAATCATTAAATAAAAACTGATTTCTTAATAAGATTCTGAATGAAAATTAAACCTATCACCTAACACAGCCCAAATATGTGTTACCTCTAGCAAAGTTGGAAACAGTAGTCCATTACTTAAAACTTAAAATATTTAAATAACTAAATACAAGAATGGCAATTTCTTTTCCTCCCCATATAACAATCATTACAATAAAATGTTGAATTTAAAGTGTAAGCTAGCAATATTTCTGAAAATCTGGAAGATCAAAATTCTTATCTGTCATAGACGAATGAATTTTAGAAAGAGATTTTAGGTATGATACCTCCTCAAATAAATTTTCTCAAAAGGACGTTGTAGAGCAGGGGTGACAAACTCAGGGTCTGTGGGCTGGATCCGGCCCGTGGGGTGCTTAGATCTGGCCAGTGGGGGCTTCCTGGAAATGAGCATGCAAGAAGGGACAGGGAAGGAGAAAGGGAAAGACAAAGAAAAATGGAAGAGAACAAGGAATTAAAAATAAGGAAAGGGGGAAAGAAGAAGAAAGGAAAATGAAGAGGGAGGGAGGGAAGGAAGGAAGGAAGGAAGGAAGGAAGGAAGGAAGGAAGGAAGGAAGATTTTAATGAGAGTGAGGGAAGATCTGAGGGAAGTCCTCTCTTAGTACTTGGCCACCACAGTTGCCTCCAACACAAGTGTCGTCGAGCTGGCCCTGATGACCCCGGCCATACACCCCGTCCCACCCCAAGGTCAAACACAACCCCAATGTGGCCCTCAATGAAATTGAATTTGACACCCCTGTGGTAGAGCAGATGTGTCAAACAAGCAGCCCGTGGGTCGAATCCAGTCTTGGAGATGGAGACGGATCAGCCCATGCTGTCCTACACCAGCTCACCTTAGCCACACCCACCCAGTTGGCCACAATGACCAGGACACAAGGCCCCCCCAAGGGCAAACAAAATCCTGATATGGCCTGCAATGGGATTGAGTTTGAAACCCCTGTTGTAGGGGTTAACTTTATGGTTTAGTATTTATGAATGATTAAAAATATTGATGCTGTCAGACATGTCTTATGCAGATGCAATATCATAACTCAAGGAAACCACAAATTGAAAATCTTAAGCCAAAGGTGAACTAAGTTCATTTATAATTTGTGGAGCATTCTGGACTGTTTTCTTTGTCTGTGTTAGATTCGAACAGCAGGCTGGCTGTGGCACTCACTCCAACTGAGTGCTTACCTGATGTCCAATGGTTACATTAGAAGAACTGACAGTTTTGAAATAACTTTTGAGGCATGTGATTTAGTTAACAGATGGCTAATGCATTAATTTTATGTTGCTGGATTACTATGGCTTTTGTTACCCATCATATTTCATGAACAGCTAGGAATATATGAGACACTATTTCATTTACCAAACATTTAAATGTCATCTACATTTATCTGCATGACATTTAAGGTTTTGAGATTCTGAGCATTGAAAGCAGTTGGTGTTTTCATGTTTTCATTTCACAGGTTTTTATTTTATTTATTTTTGTTCTGCCTTTTATCCAAGAAACTGTGGTAGAATGTATTCACATGTTAGTGGTTAGGCTGAGAGATAAAAGTTTGGCTCAGTGTCACCCAATAAGCATCATGGCTGACTAAGAATTTGATTGTAGCTCCACAGATCTATTCTAATATTGTAGCAATAGCACCATATTTGGAAAACAAAAAAGTACAAAAATATTTTGGGATCTAGAGCTTCAGGAAAGTATCAGGTTACTGGCTAACTAAAGGTTTGTATTTGCATTATTTCTATTTGTAACAATCTGAATTTGGTACTGGAACCTTCTGTTTATTTTTCTCTTTATCAGTACCAGTGAAATAATAAAAGTCCATCTTGAGGAATTTAGGACTAAGCCAAAAATTGAAGAAGTAGCTGTTTATGATTCTGCCTTTTGACCCTTATAAAATGAATATTTCTATGTGTTTTTTTTTTGTAAGAAGCTTGAAGCTCTCTGAAAATGTTCTGTCCAACTCCAGTGATAGAGTTGCACTTGTGTTTAATATGGAGCATAAAGTTGTCCTTGACTTCTTAAGTAATATCACATAATTAAACCTTAGAGGACATCACTATTCTTGATGTTGAAACAACCACCCATTCGAAGTAATCCAGGATTGAACATTGTGAGCAACAATTGGATTTCTGAGTTGTTGATTTCTTGAAAACATTGCTTTTACAATAATAATATATTCATTAAAAAAATTTGGTGCAACCTTATGATGTTTGCCATGTAATTTACCAAGAAAATGCAATGACTTCACAGGCACATGTTGATATATTTATCAATGTTTCCATTACAAAATGATTATATAAAATGTTTTAATTTGTGGTTTGCTCCTTTATTTTTAACTGACCTTCTGAAAGCTTGATCCTGAAAGACAGGATAAATATGTATGAGTTTGTGTATGTGTACCAAAAAAAGTTATTTGCTGTTTTTATATATGTTCCTTATGCTGTTAGCTATTGAATAAGGTTTTAAATTGTAATATTTCTAATTCAGATCAATCCTGTTGGTTTATTATAATTTGAAAAGGGATTGCACTAATAAAGAATAGTTTAAACATATAATTTTCATTAAATATGAATCAGTACAAAATCAGAACAATTTTTACCACCATATTTAAAGTTCCTTTTTCCATAAAAAGCCTCATTTATTTTTACAGTAATTTGAGGTTACATATATGTGCCTTATTCATCTGTAAGAAAGAATGTCAATTCTTGGTGTTTAGTGAAGTTGCTTTTGTTAAATAATTTTCTAAATTGTTCAACTTTTAGCAAATGACACTGGATACTAACATTAGAAAGCAATTTAATCTAATTAAGTAGATCCTTATATAAACTATTGGAACATTAAGATGACAAACTGTTCATCTAGGGTTACTTTAATTGGGACAATTATTGTAATTTTGCTGCAATTATGTGTTTAGTTAAAAGCTTTTGTCCCAGATCTTTTTTTGCTGTTGTTGTTAATGTATACATAACAGAAAAAGCTGAAATTAAAATTTAAGTATGTTTCTCTATTTTTGCAGTGTTGTATTTAGAAATGTAATAATTATGCATTCTATATAAATTGTTTTTAAAAAAGAGAACGTGGGCAAGATACTGTATATCATGAGTTGCTTTCCAGTAGATGGTAGTAGTGGTTTTTTTATTTTTTAGGTAACTTAATTGGTTTTCTATTTAACTATTGATGGGAAAGTGCATGAATTTTATTAAAATAATTTTGATATGATTTAAACAATGTGGCCACAACCTTAACTGGTTGGAATTTCTGATTATTTGCTTATTTTCTATTGGGAAAAATCCTTCAATCTCAGGGACAATTATTTGAGGAGGGGGGAGATTTAATGAAGTTTATTCATATGTGTCATATAGTGTAACCGGATATAAATCCCAAGGGAAATTTTTTCTTAATCTTATTTCTTTTTTTGCTTCTTGGCTTCAAGTTACTTTACAGCTTATAAAATAGTATAATTCCAACTATATGTACAGTTCAGTGAAAGACTATTCATCTTTTGCATTTTCTGAATTTTTCATATCTTTGCCATTGAATGTTTCAGGGCTTTCTTTGAATTCTTGCAATAGTTAGATCTGAGTTAGATGCTTGCTTCATTTAATCTCAAAAAAAGTAATCCAATCATACAGCGTGCCAGTGTGGAAAAATAATCATCCCTCAGTTTCATTAACTGTTTATACCACCTTTAGCTGCAGTAACTGCAGCCAAGTACTTCCTGACTCCTATAATCATACTTACAGTTGGTGATCAGTCTCTCACAAATTTGATTCCTTCCTCCATGGTGAACTGCATCAAATCAGTGATAGGTAAAGGTTTTTAGCATGAGCTGCTTATTTCAGTTCTTGCTGCAGCATTTCTGAGGGGTTTAAGCCTCAACTTTGTTGCTTGTTGCCATCAGTCACATTGTTCTACTTTCTCCTGATGTATAAAAATAGAAGGCCTCTTGCTGCTTTTATTTAAAACTCTGATTTGCTGTCCCATTTGTTATGTTGAAATTCTACTCTTTGTCTGAAAATTGAGATAGTGATATTTGGATGTATACTTTTTAATTAGCTTCTTTTTTTTGTTCATCAGAGTCTCTTCCTCAGGTAGATCCAACATATCCAGTTGGATGTGTTGAAATAGGTTGTAAGGTATATTAATAGACTCTTGAAATCTTATTCAGATTTCATTGTGCTCTGTATTGAAGTAGAGTTATGTTGAGTTTCTTTCTCATGTTTTCTTCAAGCCTGGTCTGTGTAATCTCCTCTCCAAGTCCTCCTTAATAGTTATTTCCTTTCTTAACAGCTTACTCATATCTTCCAAGGTCAGCTCTAAATTCCTTTATAAGTATTCTCTTGGTTGATTATAATACTCTTTTTTTTCAGAAGTGGCCTTTATTTTATTTTTTTCTTTTTACAAAAGTTCATAAATTACATTAATATCTTTTAGCAGAATAGCTTAATGTATTAAGCTCAAAAGGTTAGAATAGAGATTTTGATGTATAAACTATCCGTAGGCTATTGGCTTCTGAACAGAAGCATTGTTTAACATACGCAGAACACTATTCACATTCAGTTTTAAGCAGAGCTGGCATTAAAATTCAGCTAATTTGCTTCATGTGACTTCTCAGCTGTGGTTTTTCATTTAAAGTCTTTAGCTCCTTTTCTTTTTGGAGTCTTGTTTGACAAAAATCAGATGGTTGACACATTTAACTCTTTGTTCTCTGATATAATTATATTTGTACTAATTTTAGGCATGATTGCATAGATGATGTAGATTTTTAAAAACTCTTGTTTATAGGTTCAATTTATAGATAACTTGGTTTCTTGTGTATAGTTGTTTATAATTTCAAATACAATTTTAAAAAAATTAAGACAGAAAAACAAGAATTCTAAAATGAACTTCTCTAGCCAGATTGAAAACACACCATATATGTGTAAATAGTATTAGACAAGGCTTTCTAATCTGGAACTTTCTTTGCCTTCTTTAGAATTTCAAAGAATATTCCAACAACTAAAGATGTTGAACCTTTACTAGAAATTGATGGTGATATTCGAAATTTTGAAGTTTTTTTGTCATCACGAACTCCAGTCCTTATAGCACGAGATGTAAAAACGTTTTTACCATGTACAGTGAATCTTGATCCCAAACTGCGAGAAATTATTGCAGGTAATATATCACCAATTAATTATACAATAAATTTTACTATTACCAAAAAAACCACCCTTTTTCTAAGTTCCCCAAAACTTACTGAAATATATCAGAGCAAATCTTTATGCAATCATTATTTGCAATTATCCTTTCAATAATTAATGATGTAAGTATCTTACATTTTGGTTGTCCTCTTAGCTTCTATTACTGTTAGCTTTGGAGAGATGCGTCAGTTAAGCAATTGAGAGCTCATACTTGCATGTAGTTTATGTAGCCCTAGTAGTTACTATATTGATGTAGAAAATTTTTTTTGTAAAGAAATTGACTCTGGGTTTTCTCAAGTAAAAAATTCCTCTTTAAGAATCTGCATGGTATTAAGCAATAAAACAAAAAATACCATGTATCTACAAACTTAACTGTAATTTTTCAGGTATTCCATCATTTTATTTTAGTTTTATATTTTAAAAATAGAATGCAAGAAATTTGATTTCAGATTAATCCATTCTTTCACTTTGTGTTTATCAGTTGATTAGTTATAACTTCTCTAACAATTACACTGGTGCATTGAATATTTCAGATGTCCGGGCTGCAAGAGACCAAATTAATATTGCAGCAATTCCATATCCTGCAATGCCTATACAAGATGCGGCTCCCAGAGCATCATCAGTATTTAGTCAGCCATCATCAGCCTGCTCTTCAACCCATTCTTTTAATGGACCTTTCAATGGAGGAGTTGTATCACCACAGCCCCATAGCAGCTACTACAGTGGAATGACAGGACCACAGCATCCATTTTATAACAGAGTAAGAAACAATAGCAGTTTAACATCTGCACTCTTTTATTTAGTTTGGGTGTCATACCTGGTTAGAAATCCTATATCTTAGCAGAAGAAAGGCAGTAACGATAGCTATCTGCTGATTGTATTTGTAAATAGTGTTATAGTGCAAGTGTGTGTAGAAATTAATATTTTTATATTATCAATAGGCAGTTAAATGAACAAAGTTTTAAGATTTGCAGATTTAATTAGCCCTGCAGAAAAGAAGTCCTCTTTATCTTAAAGTCAAGCATAGATTAAAATGATTATTAAATTGCCCATGTATATAATTATAGACTCGTGTTTACTTGTTTAAGTGACATGGGCTTTCTCAAAAGTTCAGCGTGTTGTCTGTGTAATACATTAAACATTTTTGAAAAATGGATTGAACAAAGTTATTATTTTGAATAATTCAGTTGCTCAATTAAAATGAACTAAATGTTAATAAACATATAACTTCCCATTCACTCTTTTCAAAGTGTAAACAGTCAGACTAAGAAGTCTTATAACTTTTGTTTTATCTAACAGTAATACTCTTGTGGGCATATCATATATTAAGTTTCAAATTATGAGATGATATATTTCTTTTTCAGTAATGCAATACTGGTTTTTAATTTCATTTTGATTAATTGAAGGACTTCCTGGATTGATTGCTTATTCTCTGAAAAGTTGTATACACGGACAAAATGCTTATTTGCATTTCAACACTGAGATGCAGTGAATGTATGCAAATTCATTTTGTATCAGCTTGTATTCTAAAGGAATCTAATTCAACTTCTAATGCACTCTAAAATTGAAGCTGCAGTCTTGCAGGACCAAGTAGGACCTACTGAGAGATGATATCAATAATATCTTTTAAATTCAGGTATTTTACTATGTCAGTCCAGATTCAAATAATAATTTTCAAAACAGATTAATTTTTAAAGGGGTATACAGTGTTTCTTGAATTTTTATCCAATAGGGAATGAGATACAGTTCTGTAATTGGTATAAAAATTAAATGCAAATTACTGCATGGATTCTCACTTTTATAAGAGACCTTCTGAAATGATTCCAAAATTCTTAACCATGGTTTCAGTCCGATTTGCTTCTAGGGATAATACTACCATTGGAAAGGAACAGAAGTGATTTACATTGCTAGACTGCCTTTTAGCAATTCTAAACCGTATTAAAAGTTTTTATTGAAGCTATGTACATGTTGTCATTCATTATAAAAATGTTTAATTTTAATGTTTGTCTGTCATCGAACCTATATGAAACTTTCCTGTTGATTTCAAATGGGGTAGGTAACTATTTAGTTATTTCACATTTTGATCATTTCCAGATATGACTGCCTAATTACCCAAGGAACTAAACCATTATGTTTTACATTTTTAAATTAGCATTTGTTGAATTAAGTTCTTTTGATTTTTGTAATGGTCCCTTTTTGTTACATGTTTCTTTCCATAGCCATTCTTTGCCCCATATGTTTACATGCCAAGGTATTACCCTGGCAGTTCTCATCTCACCTCCCGTCCATCACTAAAACCGAATTTGTCCAGGGAACAAAGCAATGGTCTAGTAAGTATCTTGTAAAGTAAATGAACATATTAATTTACATAAGATTAGTAAGTAATACAAGAATAAATATGTTTAATTGTGGCACATGTATACCTAAACTATATTTTCTTTAGAAATATTATTGGAACACTTAAAATAAAAGTTAGTTAAGACAGTACAATGTATCTTGTTCCACTTTTAAAACATTTGTATGTTAGGTTTCACTTGCTATATTCAAATTGATGCATTTCTAACATAAGAAAAGAAATACCTTTAAGTTAGTGTAAGTAAATTAGTAATTGTAAAGACAAACAGTTGAGTAAAGTATATTATATTTAAAATAGATAGGGAAGTTTACTTCTAGTTTCGTTGAAGCAGAATTCTTATTTTATGTCAGGTTAAAAATTGAGCCTTACATACATTTTCATAATTGCACCGTACTTTGGTACATTTAAAATCTTTTAACAGTAACTTATCAGCTTGTCCCTAGCTAGTCTCTGAAATTATTAAGCAAGATCAGGCCTGAATAGTACAACTTGAATTAAAAAAACCCAGGGCATCCCAGAAATGTAGACTACATTAGAGATTAAAAACTTCCAGAAGAAGACAGTACCAAGTTACCCCCCATATTATTGACAAGCTGCAATTCAAGGAAGACATGAGGTCAAGTAAGACTCAGAAGAGATTTTTTATTATCTTCATAGGAATTTATGTTGAAGCAATTGACGTTCCAGAAAGAAATAAGAAATATTAGGAAAAATGATGGATTTAGAATGAAATTATACAGAGACTTTTATACTTCATTTTAAAATAAATCAAAATCAGATGTAATCACCTCTAGGCATGATGGCCACAGGTGACAGACATATTTGTTTGGGAAGATACTTTCTTCCTAACAAGGAAGTGACATTTTGATCATATGTGTGTCCCTTCTTCTTCACTTATAGACACGTAGTAATTTGCACAAAACATTTTTTCTCCAGTTCAGATATAATAGAAAGTTGTGGTTTATTGTTAAACTAAAATGTTAAATGGAGAATTGGCATGAATATAGGAAAGAGAGAGGAAAAAATGCAAACAAATAAAATGATCAATATAGCTGTTCCATTTTTAACCCTGGCTTAAAATATTCTGTGTACGGAATGATACATTCCTTGATACATCTTCATTCATTGTTTATTTTTATTTTTGTGTGTGTGTTTGTGTGTCAACATTTTGTCCAAGTCATAATGATTTGTTGTTGTTGTTAGGATATTATCAAGGAGGATATTGATGAGTGGCTTCCGATATCCACAGAGCCCTCAATGGTAAAAAAGTAGTCATGTGGTGTGGAACTGTAGCATCTCATTGCTTCCTCAACAATAATGAATTTGCTTTAATTATAACTGCCATTCACTAATTCTGCATCAGTGGCTTGATGGACAAATAGTATAGATGAAGACTAATAAGCATAGTTTGTGAATGAATTGGCTAATACCCTGCTTATAGAATATATTATTTACATTTTCCATGCTTCCTTTCAGTAGTCTATCAAAAACAGTTATTTTTAGTAATATAAAGCGTGTTACATCTTCATTAGTAGGGTTTTTTTTTTGTTCATGAAACACATTTGATATATTCAGATTTACGTTGTCAAACAATTTGTGTACTGCTGAGCTTCTAACACAGGGAAGTTTACACTTACCATGACACACCATCATACTTTAAAGTAACATTGTATTGGCTATTCAGTTCTGTAGAAGTGATTAGCTGATGCTTTCTCTAAATAATTTGGTCAAATAAAACCTGTGCTTTCTCAGTTACACCCATGGAGTTATTGCAGTTGACAAACCATAAAGCTGATTTTAGGCAGTAGTGATGTTGGAATATACTCCTGCTGAGCTTGCACAGAAGGCTGGCTTCACATATTTATATTATTGTCACACTGTGGTTTACAAGTGTTTCCATAGGTTATATTAAACATGAATCTTACTTCCCATATATCCATCTTTTCTAAAAAAACATTAATTTGAAATCTGCTCTTTGTAGCTGTGTGTAAATACATGCTTGACATTACCTGCAAAAATGATTGACCATCCTTTTATTGATTTTAGTCTGTTTTTAAAAAAAATGATTTTGATTTTATAGTCCTATGTTAAATATTCCTGTTATAAAAAGAAAGTCTTTTACAACTTTGCAAACACTTCAGAGAAAATGATTATATCCTGCTATAATCCCCTCTACTATGCTCACTGCAATGTAGATTATGAGTCTCTGTTAGATTGTATGCCGATATATTTCAAAGACATATCCCAGTCTGTACCATCCCCTGGTTCGCCTACTGTTCATTTGACAGCAGATTTAACCTCTTGGAACATGCTTGGTATCATTCATAGACTGCTGCACACAAAAAAAATAGGATTATTATGCTTTAAGGTGGGGAAATCCACCATAATACTTCAGTTTAATAGATTTGTATCTGTACAGAAGGTCATGCTACTGCATAATCAAGCATTAAACAGATGGACACCACACACATTTCTGTGTATACTGCAGTGACATACAGCCTTATTGCTTTAAGTAATTAATGTAAGGCAGTTCATTTCTGCTGAGAAGAGGCCCACCTCTTAGATGAACTCATAATGCTGAAACAAAATGTACTATGAATTGTATTCTTTAATTGTATTCTTTTAAGCCAAGTGATCAACACATTTGATGTAAGCATTTTGTTCCAAGTGATAATTTGACAAAATGTGAGTAAATTCATTTGTCTGCTTTGAAGGAGGCATGGAATTTTTTTAAAATTTGTAAGGTATTATTAATGGGCTTTGAATGTGTACAGGAAATAGATTTTAAATAACCTGAAATATGTGCTTGCAATTTCTAATGGCAACAAATCCTAGGTTCCTTTGAGGGATCCTTGGTGCTTTCTGCAAGGGTGGGATGCTACCAATTCTGCCTGGCTCTATAGAACTGGTAGCTCTGAAGAGCAGCAAACACCAAACTGGTTCTGTGTTTGCTGCTGTTTGGCTCACCCGCCTGGGCTCTTACCTGTTCTTTATTTCCTGCTTTTTCAATCTCAGCTCCTTTGCGTGGCACAGCTGAGGTTGAAAAAGCAGGGAAAAAGTGGCTTTTCAACTGTCTGAGCAGCACTTAAGGATTTTTATATGTGTGCATAGCGTGCATCAGGTGCATGTGTGCGCAAAGCACGCAAGCACACGCAAAACATAGTCACCAAACTGATAGTAAAACCGATTGAATCCTACTCCTGGCTCCCTGGCCTTGGTTGTTTTCTTGCAGATGTTCATTACCCAAACTATATAACATCTTCAATGCTACTCTAGCACTGATGATATTACTTAGTTTGGATAATGAAACATGTGCAAGAAAACCACCAAGGTCAGGGAACATCAAAGACTCCTCATTTCAACCCTGAGCTACAAATATTCTCCTTTATTGCTAATTTTCTTTGTTATTGCAAAACCATATAGATGTGATGACCTGGAGCATGGCACAAAGGCAACATAGTCAAATAAGCAAGAAGAGTCCCTTTATTATCTCCAGCTTTGCCCCTAATGTCCAGGTTACCTTTGGCTGGAGAAAAACTCTCCCAGGAACAGTCTTTAAGTGGAGGAAATTCAGTCTGAAAACAAAGTACATACAAACTGTAACTAAAAATCCAAACAAACCAAGCTGCAGTAATTAACTTGACAGGGCAGGAGAAGAAATTGCAGACTTGAAAGCACAGCAAAACACACACAGTTGGGAAGATGCCAGGAACACAGATAAGCCTCGATGAAACCAGATAATTCATGATTTGCTCCCAACAACTTGCTGTGCGCAGCTTCCCTTTTTAAACACTGTTCCCAGCTGCAGCTAATGAAGGGAGTCGGCCCTTTCCTCCCCCATAAGCCATGCAACTCAGGTTGCTCCCTTCTCTATTGCTCCCTGCGTGCCCTAGGATGAAGAGGGGGTGGGCCTGGGTCTTCCTCCAAACCCCGCTTCCCTTGCTCTACCTCTCTCCTGCTCTGCCCAGCTGGACTTTGCCCTTCTCCAATTTCTTCCACAGCCAACAGAGCCACACTCCCTGTCAGCTGATCGGCCTTCCCCCTCTGAATCAGATTCTGACAGGGGCATGACAATAGCTTATCAATGTTGGTAAAGTAAACTGGAATAAATCAGGTTTATTAGATATGTTTCTCCTATAGTTTATCTTTAGAAAAAGGATGTTGATATCTAATTTTATTATCAAAATAGCTGGAGGAAAAACAAAAATGAAGGCAGGAGTGTCTGAAAAGATTAGCACTGTGTGAAAGTAAGCATTTATTCTGTATTAGAAAGTAAATTTTTCTCAAGTAGAAGCACAATAAAAATAGCCACAGTGTTATCTTTTTGGCTTATTTTCATTGTGCATGTAGCACACACAAAACATTTTTTTACAATAAGTCCTGGAGAAATTGTTTGGAATAAGCAGCTGAATCACTAGCAATAGCAATAGCACTTAGACCTGTATACTGCTTTACAGTGCTTTACAGCCCTCTCTAAGTGGTTTACAGATTCAGCATATTGGCCCCAACAATTTAGGCCTTCACCTTGGAAGGATGGAATGCTGAGTCAACCTTGAGCCTGGTGAGATTTGAACTGCCAAATTGCTGGCAGTCTGCAGTTAGCAGAAGTAGCCTGCAGTGCTGCATTCTAACCACTGTGCCACTGTGGCTCTATTGCTAGGAACACTATTGTCTTCATTTGCCTAAGATGCAGTTTGTGCATGAACTTTTCAAAATGCCCCGTTTGGACATTATCACTTAGGGGCGTACTTACTTTTGTTGCCAGCAGTTTAGCCATTAATGGCTGTGTGTTGCGTTATTTTGAGGGGACAGCACATTTACACTGTTATACAAGCTGTATACTCACTACTTTACATTGTAGCAAAGTGTCATTTCTTCAGTGTTGTCACATGAAAAGATATACTTAAGTATTTACAAAATGTGAGGGGGTGTACTCCTGTGATATACTGTATATGTAACATAAAAAGTTTAACA